TATAAACCATTTTAATTGCAAATTAGACAGGACTTAGGAGGTATCAGGTATGAGATAATGTAATTTATTACATATTTAATAAACCAAGTTTGATCCCAATACACTAGGGGATGCAACCTCTTAGTTATCAATTTTTTATTTATATAAATCACTAATTTTATTTAAAATATAAAATATAATAAATTATAATAAATATTTACAATTATAATCATATATTAAGTTTATAATCAGGATAATTTCTTATAATCATTAAAACAAAACTAATAACTTAAAATCACATAATGACAATATAAGGAAATATTAAAATGTAACTAAGAAAACTAGAATAAAGATAGATACAAACATATCTGATCATATCGGCAAACGAACCACAAAAATATATTAAGCTACTAAAAGACCAACAACAAAACGCAAATCAAACCCGAGCGACGTAAAAAATTATCCTAAAACATATACCAAATATACAAATCCAATATGAGGGTCCAAAGCAGAGAATATCATAATGTAACATATAAGTGTCATCTTGATAAGTAATGACGATGTCTAATCAACTCTTAGAAAAAAGATAAGTGAACACAGTGGCCAAATAACCAAAAAACATATAAAAAAGCATACGAAAACGTGACATGACATGAAGGTAGATGAAAATTTGTGATATAGGTAGACTTATTAAAAATAAAAAATAAAAATAAATAACGATATAATATAAAAATAAAAAGATAATAAAAAATACCGACGATCGACAATCAATATTAAAATTGATGTCATCGCCGATCAATAAACACAAAAAAATAAATAACTTATCAATAAGAAAAAACTAGAAGCTTTCTCCCATTAGTAATCACTTGTTTTAAATGTAAAACAAAAAGCCATAATTAATTAATTGCTAAACTTGGTTGTTAAGTCACCGTGGCGGAATTCCTTTTAGTTTTATTTCCTTTAATTTAATTAAATTAATTTTTTGGTAAAATACACAAATGATCACTAATTTTTAGGTACATTTTCGTTTTCTCCATTAAAATTTCAAAAGTAACAAATTGGTCATTGAATTATTGATTTATAACAAATTGATCACATTGACCATCGTTACTGTATATGACCGAATGTTGATATGACGTATTAACTGACTGACCTGGATTAAGTTTGGTGCCACGCTGGAGAGCCATTTGTCCCAATCAATCCCCTCTTTATAAACCAAATTCTTAACCATGCAATCTTACCATTGACTCGCTTTTCTTCACGTTGACCGACTTGGCCACCTCTTCGAGTCTCGATATCATACTGCCCGCCCCATGACAGATCCGACAGTGGAGTCCATCATCCGGAACCTCAAAACTTTAAGGTTAATGTGGACCCTAAAAGCTTTCTGATGCCATTCATGGCTAAGCTATCTAAATATGGTTTATTTAAAAAAACAAACAAATTGATGGTGAGTTTCAAGCCTTGCGCTACTAGGGAGGAGAAAAAAAAGAATATGAAGGAGACGACCTTGAGCCTTGAAGAGCTTTTTAGCGACGTCAACATCGACGTCGCAGGGAGCTTGATTCTCGAGACTGTGCTGCCCTAGAATGGTCAAAGAAAGGCCCACAACAATGATACCAGCAAAACTAATATTCAGTAAGCATTATTCATGGATAAATCAAGGTCGGCTAATCGGTACAATGTACAAGTTGTCGATGAAGGTTGGGATCCTCCACTATTTTTATGGAGAAACTACGAGAACAAGTCGGGGAACGACTTGAAACTTGAATTCTATGATCAAGGTATTGGACCTCAAAGAAACATTGATGTTATGAAATCTTACAATTGACAGTACTCAAAATAATGGTACAAGGACCTCGAATCCCATTATTTTTTAACAATATCGAATTTATTTCTTTTCATTTAAAGATTTTCAGTAGAACTAAGACGATAATGTGATTGTTAAGAAACGTGTATAATAGAAAATATACACAATAAATAAAATGCTTGCATTCATATCAGCTGGCATACTACATTTATAAGAGTGGTTTAGCTCACCACTAACCACCACTAACCATCTAACAAACTAACTGACTTAGCTAACAGACTAATCACCTCTACACGTATGTGCTGCATTGACAGCAGCCTAACATTCCTCCTGCTCTTCATTTTCTCCTCTTTGACAATAATCTAACATTCTCTCTACTTTTCCTTTTTGATGAAAAGATGAACACTAGAACCGGAAGTGTCGATGCTTCCTCCCGTTCACTTGAATCGGAAGTGCCGATGCTTTCTTTCGTTCGATTTGAATCGGAAGTGCTGATGCTTCCCTCCGTTCGATTTGAATCGGAAGTGCCGATGCTTCCCTCCGTTCGACTTGAATCGGAAGTGCCGATGCTTCCCTCCGTTCGATTTGAATCGGAAGTGCCGATGCTTTCCTCCGTTCGACTTGAATCGGAAGTGCCGATGCTTACCTCCGTTCGACTTGAATCAATGCAAACTTTTGATGTGAATGAACATTCAACAAAAAAATTCTAAAAAAAAAAACTATTCTATAACAACAATGTTTCGCAGCTTAACTACCAACAATTCTTCATCCTCCCTGCACGTAAACCTTCTGCTTCATATTGCTTGGAGCAAGGGCAGTGATCTCCTTGCTCATACGGTCTGCAATACCAGGGAACATAGTTGAACCACCACTAAGAACAATGTTACCATAGAGATCCTTCCTGATATCTACATCACACTTCATGATAGAGTTGTAGGTAGGTTCATGGATTCCAGCTGCTTCCATCCCTATGGAAGATGGTTGGAAGAGGACTTCAGGAAAACAGAATCTCTTAGCTCTGATAGTAATGACTTGTCCATCAGCTTTGAGGGTATACTCAAAAGCACTGTTCATTAGCCCACCTTTGCATCCAGAATCACATGAACCTTTCTCTTCTGGATCACACTCATGATCGCAGTCGATTAGCTTTTGTTCGCTGAGGCTCACAAGTTTTCCGGTTGCCAAAAAGTTGGCACCTTCCAAGGCTCCTGTTGTACTAAAAGACCAGCATGATCTGTATGAACCCTGGTTTTTTACGGATGAAACAACTCCTTTTTCTCTCCAGTCGAAATCTTCAGGCAAATTATCAGTAGGCAAAATCGGTGCCTCGGTCGCATCTTTAGGCAATCTCAATCTCCTTAATCCCAAATACGCCTTCCTGAACTCTCCCGGAGTCAAATCGGAGAATTGAGTCACCCCGTGAATCGCAGATGGGTCAAGCTTCTGATGACGTGCCGCTCGTCTCAGGTTATACTGGAAAACCTTGAACCTGTAATCGTGCTCCTCCTGAGACACGTACGATTTCTTGAACCGCTTCTTGAACAGAGAGAAGCGATGCTCCGCTGTCAGCAGCGGTGGCTCGGCTCCATCGTGACCATACGTTACTTGCTCGATCAAAGGATCAACTTGGAATCCCCCCGCTGTAGTACGACCACTGGCATACAAGGAAAGAATAGCCTGGATGGCAACGTACATGGAAGGTACATTGAAGATCTCAAACATAAACTGCTGCTCGAGATGGAAATGCAGTCACAATAGAGCCAACAGACTCCATGCAGCGGAAGAACAACAAGGTCAGGACCGTTTGGCGATTGATACCATGTTACGAAACGTGTATAATAGAAAATATACACAATAAAGAAAATGCTTGCATTCATATCAGCTGGCATACTACATTTATAAGAGTGGTTTAGCTCACCACTAACCACCTAACAAACTAACTGACTTAGCTAACAGACTAACCACCTCTACACGTATGTGCTGCATTGACAGCAGCCTAACATTCCTCCTGCTCTTCCTTTTCTCCTCTTTGACAATAATCTAACAGTGATACTTTGCAATCTAGCCCTTGTAAAATTTGATGTCACTTGAGCTCAGCTCCCACTGAAAGTGCAGATAATTTTACTGTAGTTAGTCGATCAACTTTGGCAAGAATGATTTCCATTTAAAGTTATTATACATTACCATATTTTATGCAGATGTAGAAATGGAAGAAGCCCCATCCGTTGAAGATTATGGCAAGAAAAGCAAGAAATTGAAACATAAAGATCCTCAGTTGCGGCTAAATGGAGATGCTTTAGAGGATGCTAAATCGGAGAAGAAAATGAAAAAAGAGAAAAGAAAGAAGAGCAAGAGCATGATCTCGCAGTGGAGAAGACAAATGCCGAGCAAGACGAAACAACCAAGAAGAAGAAAAAGAAGAGCAAAGATGAAGGAGCTGCTGTAAGTGAAACTAGAAAGAAAAAGAAAAGACGGAGCTAGGACAACAGCCCTGACAACAGCAGCCATAGTCTATACGAACCGAAGAAAACAAGTTTGATGTTGTAGAAAGCAAAATAAAAGATGAAGAAAGAAAAAATAAGAGAGTAGAGTCAAATAACCAGTCAAAGAGTGTCCTGCATGATCAAATGATGCTAGATCGGGATCCACGTGAGTATTCTGTCACTGCATCTGTTAATTAGCGGTTGATCAATTTATTATAAATCGATAATCTTAATGATCAATTTATTACTTCTAAATATTAAGTATGAAAAATAAAAACATACTCAAACATTAATGACCATTTTTATAGTTTACTCTTAAATTTTCTTCTGAATCTTGTTGTCCGTTAAAAACACTGTTTTGCTTTCTTATTACCGCATTACCTTTCAATTTATACTCTTGAGGCATCAATTAATTATACTTTTCTCTTAGATTCCATTTAAGGGTAAAAAAAATAGAATTAAAAATATTAACTTTAATCTTTGTTACTATTAAGGTATAGACTAATCATTTTTTATTGTAACTAACTGTTTATACTCCCTTTTAAGATATTTGTTGTAGCAAACTTTGCTCTTTAAATAATAAAATTTAACTTATCCAAAAAATAAAAAGAAAAAAGAAAAACGATCACGGAAAAAGAAAAGAAGTGCAACCGAATAGAATGAAGTGGTGTTCGGAGACAAAATTAACTGGAAGAAATATAACTTATAACGAATCGCTGTGAAGAATCTGGAATGGATTTTTAGATTTGATTAGTGATTTCAAGAGATTTTATATATAGTTTTTAGTCCAAAAGCTCTTCAAATTTGCCATTGGCTGCAATATGACTGTATTTACACCAACAAACTATATGATAATTTTGTTTCTCGGATTCTACGGTTTCGGTCACCCGGAGTATACTTGAATCCTCCGTCCAGATCTCCAACCTCTTCGCCGGAATCTGATTCGCCATCAACCGCGGCGTCGAGCCGAACCTCGATCTCAAATCGCCGGAAAATCTAGGAAACTCGACCTATAAACTTTAAGAGAGAGCAGATACCGCTTACGAAATCTTCATAATTCCTAGGCTTTTGCCATCACGGACAGCCGGCTAGGCCTAGGATGGAAAGCAGAACGACGACGTTGCTGGTGAGAGGAAGGTCTAATCAAAGCCGACAAAGCTCTCCTAACAATATCTCCTTCGACGCCACCGATTCTCACCAACGAGTTCGTCATCGCAGATCTACGCGCGTTAAGCCGATTGCTCGGCGCGCATCCTGATACGGAGTGCGAGTTATTGACGTTCTTGTGAAGACTGCAACGGAACGATCCCGGATGCGTTGTAGGCGAACACATGCAAGTCTGCTTCAGCTGATTGCTCTGTAAATTCCTTAACGCATCAGAGTTTCTACGAACGGTGGCTATCGAACGGTTCGGAGAGGTAGGACGGTTATCGAGTGGGAATCGAACGTACGGAGATGAAGAAGATTTATTGCAGAGATTGACACGTGGTGGATAAATAGATCTATGTTGATTGAAGAAAGTCGAGGACCGTGAAGAGAAGCTTGAAATCGAAGGCGTAAACCGTCCAGACGGAGAGTTAGAACGGAGAATCTGGCCGCCGGATCTTCTAGAAGAAGCCGCCATTTTTAACAAAGGTGTTGCAGACTTGCAGAGAGGAAAGTTTTGGAAGGGAGAAAAAGATACGATTTTTTGGTTTTGATTTTCTAGCCGTGTCTGGCTGTTTAGTAAGGCAAAACTAGCTTTACTCGAGCCACGTATTTATAGGGTAAGGCCTTAAGGGAGAGGAATTAGGGGTTATAAATTTGGGTAAATTACAATACTGCTTTGTTGAGCCCTTAATTATTAATAGTTACAAAATAATCTCATTATAAGACACTAATTGATTAAGTTCGATTATTAAAAATTATAAAATTATCATCTGATTATTCATATATTACAAACTCATCCTTATTTGTTAAAAGATTAATGGTCGTCTACACTAGACCTAATCTGCTAATTAGAAATAATAAAATCATATTTTAATGATATAAACAAAGAGTCAATCTATAAAATACAACTCAAACGATTCTGAGATCAGATTTTATTTATATCTCAGTCAACGTGTTAACATCTAGATTATATGACCACCAATTTTTATATGAAAAAAGACAAGTTTAAAACATACAAGTAGTCGGATGACCATTTATAACCATTAATAGTGTGGGTTCAACAAAGCAACACCTTATAGTTAAGAGATTATTTTGTAACTTTTAATAATTTAAGAACTCAACAAAGTAGCATCATATAGTCAGGGACTATTTGTGTACTTTAACCTATAAATTTTGACAGTATTTTTAAAACTCGGGATTTCAAATTTGTGGTTTTGACGGATTTGCCCTAATTTTTTTTTTTGAACTTTTTATTCCTCTTTCATTATTATTGGTCATGGCTTAGAGGTCCTTTGTTCTTTTCATTTTCCCCATTCATGATGTTTTTCCTTTCCCAAAAATAAGAAATGTCTGTTAATGTATTATTTATAGGATTGATAAATTATTAACAGAAAAAATTGTCTGTCAATATAACATTACTTAATATATTTTTAAGAATATTATTTAATTTGTTAAATAGAAAGGTAAGATTTTAGTGATAAAAAAATAAATAATATATTAATTTTTTTAGATTTTATTTTTTAGAATGTTTAATTTAATATTATTTATAATATTTTTATTTATTTTAATTAAAAACAATAGGTATTAATATCTATTAAAAAAATAAAGATACAAGACAAAGGAATTAAACCTAAATTTCCTGGGTAAACTACGCATTTAGTCACTCAACTATCACTTTGGTTATGTTTTGGTCACTCGAATTTTTTTGATTGGTTTGGGGTGATTACAAAGTAATATTTGTTAGAATCTCTACCATTTGACAAAGAATGCTCAAGCACCCCTGCAGATGTTGTGCTTAAACTTGAGACATCTTGAGATAACAATCACCCCTTTAAACACTAAGGTCGTTTAATTTGTGTAATTATTTTTTAAAAATCATCATTAACGTTACGTTTTGGTCACCCGTCGTTAAAAAATTAACAAAATTACTGACATGGTATTTTTATTTTTTTCAATGATGATATGATATTATATTATTGTGACGCATCATCATCACCGTTAATTTTTCAATGACGGAGGACTAAAATGAAATCAAAACGTAACGTTATTGCTTAATTTAGAAACAAATAGTTGAATGGCAAAAACAGAATTAAAGTGATAGTTGGATGATTAAATATGTAGTTTACCCTAAGAAAAATTAAATATTCAATTGATTCATTTCCTACTCGGAAGATTCTCCAACTTTTTCGTTTTCCACAAAAGCTACACTGAATGACACGAAACGTCATCGCGGTGCGTTGGAATCAAATTAAACACAAGGAAGGGTGGCTTGAAAAAGTCAGTGTCAAACCGTTCCATTAAAACGTTACGTTCATCTTATAAGCAATTAATTAATAATAACTCCCTTTCAATTTTTTTTAGTATATAACACAAATCAATCAATTTTAATTGTTAAAAAATTTATTGTTATTCTTTAAAATTTTATATTTAAGCACCACGCATTTAAGGATATGTATGTTTATTATAAAAAATTATAAATTTTTAAACAAATATTCCTTTATATGTACTCTAAATTTATATAAAAAAAATCAGTATATATTTGAAGCCTGCAAAAACGTGTTAGGCACCCTGTTTGATTTTAGAATATTTGATTCTTAGTAGTTCACTTAATAATTACATCCTTGAATTTTTAATTTTTAATAATTTTATCTTTCATGACACTTTTTTTTAATATTTTTTTTTGACATATTTTCGGTTTTCTTTATCAATTATTGGTCATTCTTTTTGTTTTATCTTTTTCGTAAGATTAAATTTAACGACACATCAACTGATTAAAATGATGTTTACTTGTTATCCTGATAATCTTTCTTGCTTTGGATTGAGATACGCAGTTACGTTCGTGGATAGTTTTCTCACGTCACTCAACTCTTATTTGCCACACACTAATCTTTCCTCTTAATTGAATTCTTTTTTTTTTTGGTAAACTGTACCTATTATTAATTTTCACTATAATCACTGATTTTTTTATTTTTGTCAATCATACCACTAAACTATTTAAATGATGTCAATCAAGTAACTTGCCATTAACATTTAATGAAAGTGTTGATATGACAGTTAACAAAATTGGTGTAAGTATACATTCGATCTTCCATACTTAACAACTAATTAATGATAATATTTTTATTTTATTTTTGCAAATCACTCTTTCTATAATTTAGAGAGATGTTGATGTTAATTTGTGGGAAACCATCAAACTATTGGATAATGAAATTATAATTTGATACGTATCATGGTTCCTTACTGCCTAAGAAGAAGTATGAAAAAATTAAATCGAAGGGGGCCCAAAGGAAAATGCAACTTTTGGCTTACATATTTATAAGAAATTGCGTTGTACTCGGTGCATGTGTATTAGACACTCCTTTGATCTTGAGGAAATTGCAACATTTATGTGTCCGAAAAAGAGCATCCTTTGCCTTAGGGGCTTTTCTAACTGATGGTCCCATTCTTCACAAAATCTGTCATTTAGCTTTCGTTTATATTAATTCAATTTAGAGATTACATGTAGAATCAATTAGGTTGATGGGCCAATAGGATTGTATTTGTGATTAACGGTTCATCTTTTATAATTTAGATGGAGGATCATAGTAGATGGTAGATTAGTTGTTGATCGGTGTTGAAGCGTTTTATCTCTACGAGGAGATAGAGAAGAAAAGAATTAAGGTGAGACAATTTTTTTGAGCTCGCATCATGTCTTTTGGTCATGCTTGAGAGGTTTTATAGTGATTCTTAGAGTATATGTCTATCGTAAAGTCATAATAACTACATGTACACTAGAAGACTAAGTGGATACAATCAAGTGGCGGTAGATTTAACTTTAGTTGATCACGTGGGTTTGTTAGAGGTTACATTAACTAGTCGTAATTTCTTAAGGGATGTTATATATTCGAAGTTCTTCTTTCGGAGATGTTCTTATTTACATCTCCCGGAGTTCCCTTGATGTCAGAGAGTAAGAAGTACTTTAGGATCCTCCGGCGACTATGAGGCGCAAGAATAGTATGTGGAGAACATTTAGAGGAAATTAACATTTGTTTCCCGTAGTGGAGAGAATATTTATGTCACAAAAGTGGCTTAGATTTAAAACTTAACCATTGAACCATTACAAAGATTAAATAGAATCAAATTGAATTCTAAACAAAGGGTACAATTCTTCTGACCATACATTTCACAACACTATTGGAAATTTTGGGCAGCGTTTTCCTTTCACGTTGGCTATATAATAGGATTGAAGAACTAGAATCGAAAGATTTTACCCACTCAAAGCTGTTGGGGGTATTCCCCCTTCTTTTATCATTTTTCCTAATTAAGAAAGAAAACAAGAAAATTACATTAGTCGTTCTCAAACAATGACAGAATCAAATGAACAATTGAAAGCTTTAACTTCTTCCTAAGTTTTTGGTTTAATGATATTTACGTTTCTCTAGGTTTAAATGTTAGCTAAATTAGGTATTGTCCCTTAAATTTTAAGATTAAATAATTAGTTGATCCCTATTTTATAATATCTAATCCTTTTTATATTTGATTCTCTCTATCAAGATCAATAAAAGTTTTAAAGTAGAAGGGCTCCACTTCTTCCAATTTCTTTTCGTAGTAGTTGATATATAGATATATAAAAGAAATAGAAAGGCTCATGGCAATGCCATACAGTTGTGGGAAATGACAGATTTCTGAAAAATCTAAAGGAATCAAAGAAATTAAAAGGGAAAGGAGACAATATAATTGGTTCAAGTGGTAAGTATTTTGGTATTGTTTAAATAGGTCTGAAGTTTAAGGTCTTGTGTATGCAAAAAATCTTTGTTGGAAGATTCATCCATTAAAGTTAGATGTACGACACAGATTGATCCGGATTAATCAAGATAAAGCCCTAAGAAACCAGGGAGGACAATAAAAAAACTCTCATTAACACAAGCTTATGAAGCCTTCCATTTTCGCTATTAAATTGACACCTACAACAAGTGGGAAAGTTCAACTCGAATTTGAAATTTCCCATTAAAAGGATTGTCCAATTGAGGAAGAAAACTATGAAAATGAAAGATAAAAAATGTACAAAGACTTTTATTCATAGTTATTAATAAAATTATTTGTATCACACCTCATCAAATCATGACCTTCAATTTAATTGTTTCTTAGATTTTTAAACCTCCTAATGTTATCCCTAAACTATAACTATCATTTTAAATTAGCCCTCAAACTTTTGAAGATTCTAGTTTCATCCTTAAACTACGACATTCATTATAAATTAGTCCCTAAACTTTTTAAACATTTCAGTTTCATCCCAAGCTATACATATATACTAATCATATCCCTTGTTAATGAAATCGTTAGGTCAAGTTAAATTAATATATATTTGAAAAAAAATTAACATATTAATTTATTAATGAGGCCACTCGATAAATTATTAATAAAAATAGTATAATAGAAATATTGGATTTAATTTCTTTTTCCCCAAGGAGTGGAAAACCAACGGTTTTGATGTATTCTGGTTGATTAGAGTAGTGTTCTGTGGGCCAGAAGTCAACGTTTTTTTGACACCCAAACATTAAAATATCAAGGTCTTATTTTTTTTAATGTTGAATCAGAATTTAAA